AAAACAACTATTTATGCGCTAATACAATATTTAAATAATACAAGCTCAGTCTTGACTACTTCCTCCAGGCAGATTTTTCAAACAAGGAAATTACCAGCATTCTTTTTAACTGGTGGCATTCTTGAGTAGGATGCAAGATTTAAAGATCTGTGTTATTTTTTTTTAAAAACCTACACAGTGTAAAGATAGCAAGATATCTTGGGGACTAAAACGTATATTGACTTGTGGTCCCCTCTTATCATGCCCATGTAGTTATTATCACAGATTTTTTTATAAGGTTGTTTTATTTACTCCACTAATTCTCTTTAGTTTTATATGGTCTTACTAGCAAATATTTAAAGTTCAAGGGAAAAGAAGGAGGAGTAACTCACATTTGACTGTCTTTGGCTTGCCTGTTATAGCATGACTCCTGCAAAACCTCCTCCTTAATTATAATATATTTGGGGGGAGTCTACATGTGCTCATAAACAAGTACAGTCATTTACTAGTGGACATTTACTATTTTCTTCTCCCTTTCCTCACCTATTATTTGCTAGCCTTGTTCCATCAACTGATTATTGCTGATATTTCTCCAGGTTTTATGGCTTACTCCTTGGCTACCATGTCTACTTTGCTGAGTGTGATTCCATTTTATCTGGATTCCATCACTCTTGCTGAGTATGTTAATCCAAAGGGCTGCCAGTCCTGCTTTCTTTCTGCTGGGTATTATCTCCTGTAGCCACTGCATTACCCTTTTGCCAAATGTTCCCTCTGGGGGCCATAAAGAAGTCCTTTATAAAGCAAAACGTCTTTCTCCCCCTTTCTCCTTTTTTTTTTAGTGGGAAACTGGAGCAATGTTGTTTATCTATCAGAGCATTTTGAGGAATAGGGCAGTTTTCTCAGCCTTCACACCCCATTGAGACTAGACATGAATCCTTGATACTAAGCTGGAAGACAAAGCCAGATCATAGACTCAAACCTGCAATATTCTCAGGATTTCTCTTTACGCCCAAATACAAAGGGTCCTGGCCTTTGCATTTGACATTTGAAGCTCTCCATGGACCTCAGTTTGCTCGTTCTCCCCCAAATGCTGTAATTTCTGAGTACTTTAGGACTTTCAGACTTAGTACAAATATGGGCAGTGGATCTGTTTAGTTGTTTTGTTTTAGATTTTATTTATTTGACACAGAGCGTGAGCATGTGCACATAAGCAGGGGAGTGGCAGGCAGAGGGAGGGGGTAAGGGAAAGAGAGAAGCAGACTTCCCGCTGAGCAGGGAGCCCATGTGGGACTCGATCCCAGGACCCTGAGATCATGACCTGAGCTAAAGGCAGACGCTTAACTGACTGAGCTACCTAGGTACCCTGAATCTATTGGTTTTCAAGTTAAAAGCACTCCTGCCTTTTAGAAATAGCTAGTATGGATTACAAAGACAGTTATTCCTTACTCTCCATTTCTGTTATGAGGGGAAAGTTGACAAATTCTTTGTTATTGAATTGATTTAAATTGAAAAACAGTTTCAAATGCAGTCTGCTTTTGATATATAAGTAAAGGTATGGCCATTTTGGCTTTAGCTATAAATTTTTTTCATATTGAATTTGCATAATAAAACTTCTTTATTTAGCTACTCTAAGCTAAATTTCAGCCTTGTCTTTGCCCACATTGTGATAAATTCTAATTATTGGTGTCTGAGTAAACACTAAACTGAAGGATGTGAATTTTTATTTTGTAGTGTAGTCTGAATTTGTGACTGTGTTCCTCAATATCAGAGGAAATATGCTTCTGTTCATCACATTCTCTCTCTGTTCTTTGTGAAATATTAATCCATTTGCATGTCCTAATTCAGGTATGTCCTCTTGTACCTGAATTAGGTCCACAAGGAGATGTTTTCCTCCTCCACAAGGAGATGTTTTCCCTTCATAAAACCCCTAATGTACTTTGTACTTATTCTTTTATCCCTTTCACCTTGTGAAATTACTATCTAAGGTGAGAGATTGTATGAAATACACTTCTTGTGTTTTTTTTCTATATAAATTTGTATAATGCTAGACATATTGAGCAGTAGCAGCAACAACAATGGTAACAATAAATTAATTGAATAAAAGTGCCCTTTAAATAGTTCTGAGGTTGATACTTCATTATACCCATTTTATATCTGGGAGAACTTAAATTATGTCAGTTGTCCCAGTTAGCTAGTAAACTGAGAAGTTAGAATAAGAAACCAGGCATTTTGAATCTAGAATCTATACATTAAGCTTACTAAATGCAAATAAATATTTATTTAGTTTATTAAATGTTTCTTTAAACAAACATTCCAGGCTTCATCCATCAAAATGAGAAGGGTACAGTTTACATATTCTAATACAGTAAGTATTTTGGTTTTAAAAAAAGTATAACCGTAAAGTAAGAATCCTGAAATAAGCCTCATAAAACTAACTGAAAACAATTCCAAAGAATATGGCTTTGGAAATATTTTGAGTAATTGTAGCATCACTAGAGTCACTCCCGAGGAGACAATTCTGAGACAATGCTCAATTGAATTGAAAAACTTATAATTGGCTTAATATCACTTGTTCTTTAATGCCTGCCGGTAAGGAACTTCATCCTCTTTCATAATAATGAGGTCCAGTAGCTCTTCTGCTCATATCTGTATACAGTGGCAGTCAGCTTCTGGTTACAGCAGGTTTGATCTGGGGATTGAAGGGTCCTTTGTTTTATCGCTAACCTTTCAAGGCACTTAAGTTCAAGGAGGAGAGTGAACTCAGATCAATCCAAAAATCTCTATTATCTTTATAGCCTGTTTCCTTGTTATCTTTTTCAGCTTCATTTTTCTATCACTTTCTACATGCATTTTAATCTACTGTGATTCCTGGGATATGCCATCCTTTTACTCACATTACTAACTGTTCTCCCTCCCACACCTCTTAGATAGCCCAATACTGTAGAGTGTTCTGGTTTCAAGCGCAGATTCTGGAGCCAGTCTTCTTATATTCAAAGCCTGCCTTAACTACCTGCTGTCTGTGTGGCTTCTCAGTGCCTCATTTTCCTCATTCTAGGAGTAATGGTTCTCATTCTCACTGTGTGGCTTCTCAGTGCCTCATTTTCCTCATTCTACTACTTCAAAGGATAGCTACGAGGATTAAATGAGTTAATATATATAAAATGTTAAGAACAGTACTTGTAATGAGGTCGGTACTTAGCAAGTATTGCCTGTTGCCTGTTATCATCATCATCCTTTTCTATATCATCATTTAACTGGTAAAATCCTATGCTTCTTTGAGGTCCTGCTAACATTTCACAACTTTTCTGTGGCTTTCTCAGAGCCCCACTGTTCCAGGCAGGTTTGGCCTTTATGCTCTCCCATTGTTCGCGCTGCCATTTCAGTATTGGCACACTGCATCTTGTTATTTGAACATGAATCTGTTTCTTGATTATTGTAAATACCCTGACATCAAATGTAAAAGTGAAGGTAAGGATGAAAGAAGTTTGTAGTATGTCTAAAATAATTCTGGGTTATCACCCATATCAATAGTATGGGAAATATTTTTAGTCACTCCTAATGTTAAAGAAGCTGAGGACTGGGATCCCTGGGTGGCGCAGCGGTTTGGCGCCTGCCTTTGGCCCAGGGCGCGATCCTGGAGACCCAGGATCGAATCCCACGTCGGGCTACCGGTGCATGGAGCCTGCTTCTCCCTCTGCCTGTGACTCTGCCTCTCTGTGTCTCTCTGTGTGACTATCATGAATAATTAAATAAAAAAAAATCTTTAAAAAAAAAAAAGAAGCTGAGGACTATTTCCTCTGTTTAAAAGATGTCATAAAATATTTTTCGAGCTTTCTTCGTTATTCAGAAATTTGTTGGAAAGAGTAATTCCTTTAGGATCTCTATGAAGAAAATATCAATAGTTTACATATTTCTAATATATATAGCAAACTATTCATACAGTATAGTACTATATGTATTTCTAAGCAAACATTTGGAAATTACATAAATTTCTTTCAAATATAAAACGTTGACTTTTTTTTCTGATTCATATTGACCTTTCTCCAATTAGTCCAAATTAATGAGGTACTACCTCATGAAAAAGTATCAGTAATATCCAATAATATCTTGATATTAAAACTAGAAGAAGAAAAAAAAAAAAACTAGAAGTAGGGCAGCCCCGGTGGCTCAGGGGTTTAGCGCCGCGGTCAGCTCAGGGCGATCCTGGAGACCCGGGATCAAGTCCCACGTCAGGCTCCTCGCACGGAGCCTGCTTCTCCCTCTTCCTGTGTCTCTGCCTGTGTCTCTGCCTCTCTCTCTCTCTCTCTCTCACTCTCTCTGTCTCTAATAAATAAATAAAATCTTAAAAAAAATAAAACTAGAAGGAAATATTTTATGCACTGTTTTGTTATCTTTTTCTTTCTTTTTTTTTCTTTTTTAATGTAATTTGAGTAGAATATCTGGATCTATCATGACATGCAGATTAACAAACTAATTTGAATGCTAATGTGGTTTTACATAGTTTACGTTTAAGTAAATGTTTCTTATAATAGTAACTGTATATATTTTCCTTGCCAATTCCATTTTAATTAGTTTGTTTATATATGGAAGATCATAAATATTTGCTTTGTATATTAAAAATACACCACAAAATGTGTTTGTATTTAATAATTACCTAACAGATGTTTCCTTTCATTTTTTTAAAGATGTTTTTAAAAATGCTTAAATACTAAATAATTCTAAATATACTCATAGCCTTAAAAAATCCAACAAGTTACTGAAAATTCAAATACATAGATTCTTCTTACCACATTTTTCAGTGAGATGGCATACTACATTTAGGAAGAATGTATTTTTCTTCTTTCTAGAGTTTATTTCTGGATTGTTAACCAAGGATATGTTAAGATATGTTTATTCTAATGGACCTCGGGTCTCAAATATGAGTAGTGTCAAATGATTCTGTTGTTTTCCTAGGGGGTCTTGGTTTTATTGACAATAGAGGATAATTAATTGGCATCTCTTTTTAACTATTTTTTAAACAGAACAGAGATTTCTTCTGCCATCAGATGTCTTTCTGCTTGACTGAACTGCACCTGTGGTCTTTGAAGAATACCTTACACATTGGGGGTAAATGAGCTCTGGGTTAATTTCAATATTTTTCAAATATAAGTTAAAACGTTGTAAGTATTAGTAAAGGTTAGAGCCTGTATTGTGTAGCTAGAGTTGCATTATTTTTTTACACTTAATGAAAAATAATTCTTTTTGGTTACTCTGAGTGTTATTTTTTCAGCTTGAGTTAGATTTTCAGTTGTGAAAATTGATTTTATAGGCCTAATATTTGTTTCCCCTTAAGATACATACATGTTCAATCTTTTAAATCTTTTAAAAAATCCTCTCCTTTTTGGTTAACTGAAACAACTCTAGGAGGAATGTTTTATTTATATGCCTTTAGCATCATTACTAAGAAGATGGTTTGCCTTGCAAATGTAATTATAGTTTCACTAAGTTTACTTTGCTTAAAATGTTAAGAATAGAATTTTCAGTTCAACAAGGTAGATTTAACACACATTTGCTTCCTCCCCAAATTCTTCTAAAATGAGAATAAATGAATTAAAATAAAGAAAACATAAACCTATAAGGACGAAGAGAATATACAAGAGGAGACAATTGCAATTGGGCAATTTTTGGAAGATAGGAGGGCTGGAGAAATTAGCAAAGCTTAAAAATCAGAATATCAAATGTCTACAGAAGAGAATTCCAAAGAGCCAATTTGTCTCAAAATTCTAGAAAGATACAAAAATTTGAGATGCCAGATTCTCCAAAAGGATGAGGATGCAGCAGGAGGGTGACAACAAAGGGACTTGAAAATTTGCTTGAGAAGTATGAGACACCTCTCATACATGTGGAAATGCTTAATTAGAGAGGCTCTAAACTTGGAGACATTAGCTCCAGGAGAAGAAGACAGGGGATAGGTGCTCAAGTGAAAATGGGGATGAATTGGAAACCTACATACTGATGGGTGAAGTCCTCTTAATCTCATTTGATTCTGAAATATGTCGCAGCCAGTTGTACACTTTGCAAGAAAGGAGTTTGAGGGCCTAGAGCAACTGTATGACCCCGGAGAGAAGACCTATTGACATTGACATTTGAGGGGGAAACACCCTGGTCCTTGGCTGATCAGTAAAGCCCACCAGTCAGCAACCCCTATTCATGTACACAGAACTTCTAATCAGTTTTCTAGTGCCTCTTTTTAAATATGAAGAGCAAGAAACAAAATCCAGAAGTTTCAGAAAACACTGGAAAGTTATTCTGAACTCTTGGAAATAAAAAATAGCAGAAAAAAATTTTTAACTCAAAAGAAAAAAAAATTTCTCTCCTAAAATAGAAAAAATAAACCCCCAAAACAACACAGGAAAAAATTGAGCTTATTTTTACTGCTATTGAAAATATAAACTGGTTCAACCACCTCAGGAAACAATTTGGCATTATCTGATACAATTACTGAATGTTACATATTGACCAGTAATTCCACTCCTAGGTATATATTCTAGCAAAAGCCCTGACTCTTGTGTACCAGGAGACATGTAACAAAATGTTCATAATAGTACTGTTTATGATTCAGGACCCTAGAAACAACCCAGTAGGAAAATGGATAAATAACATTTATGCAGCAGAGAAGACGAATGCATTACAGCTGCATGCAACAGCATGGATAAATGTCAGGAATATAATATTGGGCAAAAAAATTTTAAAAGTAAGTTGCCGAAGAGTACAAACAGTATGATTGCATTTAGAGGAAGTTCAAAAACAATAGGCAAAATTAAATAATGTATTGTTTTAGGAGAAACAATATACCAAATATATATGGTAATACTATAAAGAATATTAGGATTATAGACAGAAAATTTTAATATAGCTCTGAGAAGAGAGGATGTAGGATGGAAATAGGAAGGAGTACACAGGAAGCTTAAAAAGGTAATGTTCTTTTTTTTAGATTTGCTATTTTTTAATGTTTTTAATCTTTTATTTTTTTACATTACATATCATTTGTATTTATCCAATAATTAAAATAATTTTGAAACAGAAATGTTACAACAATATTTTTTTATAACAGTAAAAAATATACATAGAGGAAAAAACTCTAAGGAGAGACAACAAAATATTATTAGTAGCTATCTCTGAAGATTGGAAATATGGGACATTTAACTTTTTTGCTTATTTCCTAAATTTTATACAATAATATATTATTTTTATAATCAAGGAAACATAATTATGTTGAAATACACATAATTCTGATAGAAAAAAATGAAAGCTGTGACAAAAGAGAAGATTAAAAAACAGGAGAGAAAAGACTAGTAAAGTCTCAACATAGGAATTCTAAGCTCAATTGCTAATTCTGGGAAAAGCAGCAAAGAGAAATTATAGAAATATAATTTATAGAAAAAATAGAAATTATCAAAGAAATATTTCTAGAAATTTTCCTCAAACTAAGAAAATGAGTTTATAGGTTGAAAGGGCCTTTAAGTACTGAACACAATGAATGGAAAAGGTATCTATGAAGGCACATCAGTGTGAAATTTCAGAACACTGAGCATAAAGAAAAAACCCAGAGACCTTATAGCAAAGAAAGAACAAATGGATCACATACAAAGGATTGGGATTGCCCTTGGCCTTTTTGACACCAGTAGTGGAAGCTATGAGGCAATGGAATGATGTCTTCAAAATTCAGAGAGAAATTATTTCCAACAATTATTTCCTAGACAACTAGTCAGTCATTTGTGAGAAAAAACATTTTCAGCTATGTAAATACTCACCAAATTCACCTTCCTTTTCTCATTAAACTGCCAGAACGTATGTGTCTTGCCAAACAAGGTAATTAAACCAAGACAGAGGAAGACACACCTGTCTTTACAGGAAAATAGACAGTGTCTGTGCATCAGACCCAGAAGTTAGTCCAGAATGGTACAGGATCATGAGGCTGGAGGGGAAAGGTTGCTAATGAAAAAATTATACTGATTGGTCATTGATAATGTTAGAGTATATTGGAGATTAATTAGTGTTAATATATTTTTAAAGCAATAAAAAACAAGGCAATTTTTAATGTCAGGGACATTGTATAAAAAAGGAAATGCAGTCACAGTGTACCTACCCCATGGTTTGGTTGTGAATAAAATTTAGATATTCATTAACATTGTTAGCGCGGACTTAACCAAAAATTGTGCTCTAATTGTATGGGGAGGATGGGGAGAAGTGTAAGTGTCAGTAGATAGGGAGGGGAACATAGTGGTAAAAGATAACTGAATTCTCAATTTCCGTAGTGGATAGGCAATAGATAATACCTACAACCGAAGAATCAAGAAATTACAGAGTGAGAATACTATTTGCAAATATGAAGGAATATAGAGAAGAAACAGTTCATAATTGAAAATAGTTATCTCTAGGGAGTAGGTATTTTTTTTTAAGATTTTATTTATTTATTCATGAGAACCCCAGAGAAAGGCAGAGACACAGGCAGAGGGAGAAGCAGGCTCATCTCAAGGAGCCTGATGTGGGGCTTGATCCCTGGACCACGATCACGCCCTGAGCTGAAGGCAGACGCTCAACCACTGAGCCACCCAGGCGTCCCTTAGGGGGTAGATATTGAGGGCTAGAAGATACAGTGTCACAGTGTTGTTCATGTTGAATGACTTTAGCAGTATACCTGAATTTTTTAAAGGCCTGCACATGTTTGAATTAGATATTTAAAAAAGATTGAAAGCCAAAAATAGCAGTCTTTTTATACCCCTAGAGACAATGGTAATATCATTTATAATTAGGGATATTTTTCTAGGAAGCTCAAAATGGTATCAATGCAAATATTCTTTAAAAAGAAGTCAGTAGAACATGTGACTCTTGATCTTGGAGTGTGCGTTCATGTTGAATATAGAGATTACTTAAAATTAAAAAGAAGTATGATAGATTCAACTGCATATAGGTATAATTTTCTTATGGAAGGAATAAGTGAGCTTGAAGAGATTAAGGTCCTTTTTTGTGTTATATTTTATGTTTCTGTGTCTTGCATTAAAAAAAAACAATAGAATCCTTAGTCAAAATACATTTCTGAAAATTTAAATCTTTTTTTTTTAAAAGATTTTATTTATTTTTTTAAATTTTTATTTATTTATGATAGTCACAGAGAGAGAGAGAGAGAGAGAGGCAGAGACATAGGCAGAGGGAGAAGCAGGGTCCATGCACCGGGAGCCCGACGTGGGATTCGATCCCGAGTCTCCAGGATCGCGCCTTGGGCCAAAGGCAGGCGCTGAACCGCTGCGCCACCCAGGGATCCCTGAAAATTTAAATCTTAATGAAACTGTACTGTTAGCTATTTTGACATTCTCCAAAACAAGGATTTGCATTTTATTATTATTTGTTCTTATAATGAAGCCAGAATTATTGTATAGTTGGAATCTTAAATTGAAGTTTTTTCCCCTCTAATCATAATTGCCTATTTTTTTCATCTTGTTCCCTTACTCCCATATTATTTAGGTTTTATGCTTCTCTGAGATCATCAATCTCTCTCTCTCTCTTTTAAGATTTTATTTATTTATTCATGAGAGAGAGAGAGAGAGAGAGAGAGAGAGAGGCAGAGACATAGGCAGAGGGAGAAGCAGGCTTCCTGTGGGGAACCTAATGCAGAACTCGATCCAGGGACTCTTGGATCATGCCCTGAGCCTAAGGCAGTCCATCAATCTCTTAGTCCCTTTATTTTTTCCTACTCTGTTATTCCCCTCACCAGTTATCTCCTTACCCAGCTAGGACTCCATAGTTGGAAATCTGGTCAGTTTTATCTGGATTCCGTTATACCCCTAGTCTTCTGTTATATTCCTAGTAAAATCCTTCCCTGCCCTTCCATCTGTCCTAAAGTCCTCTGTCTCTAGTTCTCCTATTCAGACAGTGTATAGTTTTTAGAGAATACTCTCACAGTAGTGCATAGTGGCCTCAGGGTGCAGTAAGGTCTTCAGTCTCAAGTGGATCTTTAGCAGGGCCTATATATTTTCTTTGGGAAGATTCTTGTCTTTGAGCCCATATGAAATCCTCCTTTTTTAAGGGCTCAGCTTTAATAAGTCATCTAGAAAAGCCTTTCTTGCCATTTAGATTAAGTTAGTAACCCAGTTACATACTTTCATTATGCTTGAGATTTGAAGTATTTTTTTTAAGTAAATCCTATGGCCAGCGTGGGGCTTGAACTCACGACTCTGAAATCAAGAGCGGAGCTGATATTGAGAGTCTGATGCTTAACCATCTGAGCCACTTAGGCACCCTGCTTTGTTCCTTTTAGAGGAGAGGTGTCTAGAAGCCAGGGTGTTCTTTAAGTGTGCTTACTGCTATTGGAGTGTCATTGTTAACCAGGCTCTCAGTGGGCAGAGCCTAGGGAATGTATGTGTATATATGTATGTATACATATTTATATCCACATTCATTTTTGCATCTATCTCTATATATTAAAAACTGATTTTAATTTACCACCATAGGGTTCATTCTAATTTTCTTCCTTTCTGTATTTGTATTTCTCTATTCAGATAGTGAGAAACCTGAGGTTTCCATATCTTTTGCTTACTTAATCCATTCTCTATGGACTTAGCCTCCTGTCTCTGACCATACCCTCCCCTACATAGATGCCCTCTTCTTTCACATGAGTTCTGATACAACCTTTTGGGCTACCTCCATTTGTGGATGTCTTCCTCACTTTGACACCCGTCATGGCCATTGCCCCATGTGAATGTCCTTCTCACCCTGTTAGGGTTCTGACATACCATCAGGCTGACTGTCTGGACACCTTCCTCATCCAGCATAGTCTCTGACTGGGTTTTGACAGGCCACCCTGGGTCAGATGGAGTAGATCAGACTTGTACGCAGAATTCAGGGCCCTTGAGGTGCCTGTCTGGCTTAGTCAGAAGAGCATGGGACCCTTGATCTCAGGGTTCAAGCCCCATGTTGGCTGTAAAGATTAGTTAAGTAAAAAAAAAAAAAAAAATTTTTTTAAGAATTCAGGGCCCTTTATGGTCTTCATAGTTCTGTTCTACAGTTGTAAATATTTGGTTGTATCTAGTGATGGAATATTACACTAGAGAATATTGCATGTGTTCATAATGCTTATGGTTCTTAGATTTTTTTTAACTCACCTTTTTATTGAAGTAGAGCATATGCGAAAAGGATAAGATCATAAAAATATGTTTTGAACTATCAAAAAATGAACATACCCATAAAATCATCACCTAAGAAATAAAATATTATTGGTATTTTAGGAGCCCTACTTATGACCTTTCCCAGTCACCCCTTATTAAATATTTTTATTTTTTAAATTTAATTTTTTTAAAGATTTTTACGTATTTATTCATGACAGACACAGAGACAAAGAGAGAGGCAGAGACACAGGCAGAGGGAGAAGTGGGCCCCATGCAGGGAGCCCAATGTGGGACTTGATCCCGGGTCTCCAGGATCACAGTCTGGGCTGAAGGCAGCGCTAAACCGCTGAGTTACCAGGGCTGCCCAAATATTTTTAATCTAACCAATAGAAAGAGATTGTATTCTTTAAAATGATATGTCCCAGGATTTTTGGCTGGCTCAGTTAGTAGTGACCCTTGACCTGGGGGTTTGTAAGTTGGAGCCCCATGTTAGGTGTAGAGATTACTTATAAATGAAACCTTAAAAAAATTGTATGTCCCAATTAATGGCATGATGAATAGAATGGAGTTTTAATAAGTACACAGGATTTACTATTTTTAAAAACTCTGTTTAAAAGTTAATTGTATTGGGGTGCCTGGCTGGCTCAGTTAGTGGAGCATGTGACTCTTGATTTTGGGGTTGTGAGTTTGAGCCTTACGTTAGGTGCAGGATTACTTAGATAATCTTAAAAAAATAAAAATTACAACTGTAATACATTTTTTTGAAGTTTCGTCATTCAGTTTGAGAAAGTTTGGAGCAGTCAGTCACTAGGGGGCAGCCTGTACTGCTTCCACTTCTTTAGAAACTTGTATCCTTTTGTTAGTAACTAGAATTATTTTGCAAGGAGGGAAATAAATGTTACTTCAAAGAGAAAAATATTTCACTATTCACAGCTAGGAATAAAATGGACACAATTATTTGGTTTTGCTGTAATTCAATTGCAAGGACAGAGTCCTTGGTGCTCTCAAAATCTAGTAAGCCTTGCTTTGCTTCCATGGCCCCAGGATAGCACCTTGAATGAGTTTGGAAGGTTTTTTGCATCTAAACAAGCTTCAGATAACTTAACCATACTTTCCTCTAGTTTTTTCTTTTTCTCCTGCAAATTTCCCCCAAGCACCATATTAGATTTAAGCTAAAGTAGAGAGAAGAAAACAACAGCTCAGAATCCAACAGTTAGGGCATTTTTTTTTTTCCATCCTCTAATTTCATTTGGCATTGCTTAGTGGCAGTTCCTTTTGGTAGCACCCTGTGAAAAATATCAGAGGAAGTGTGAAAGAGAAAAGTTGGTCTTCCTTGATTTCAGTTTTTTTTTTAACTACTTCTTTCCTCATGCTCTTCTAGTTTTGTATAATCTTTTTAAATTAGATTGATAAAACTTCCAGTTCCTGCATATCCCTAGAATAGATGAACTCATGTCCAGATACTCTTGAACTATCTTACTTATTTCTAGTTTCAAAAAGATTGTTTCTGTCCTCCTTGCCTACCCCACCCCAGTCCTGCCATATAATAAACTTTTTACCATAATCTAATGTTATTTCTTCTTTTCCATAGATAGAGACATTGGGATCTACCAGTATTACGACAAGAAAGACCCACCAGGTTAAGTATCTATTCTACTAAACTAATTTTTATAAATGAAATATTCTAAACTATAAAATACTGACCATTAAAAACTCTTTATGTGACCTTTAGATAAATTCTAAAATTAAAAAAAAAAGTCACTTCAGTTCTTTAGAAAAATGCTGAGGTTGATAGCTGTTCTATATAAAATAAAGCAATATTGAGAAAATGCTGTAGAAGAACATGAAAATTTTCATTTTACTGCCGATCCAACTGATAACTGGACAGTCTGTTTGCATTTATCTATCAGTGTTCCAGTAGAGGGCATTGTTAATGCGTGGGTCCCACTGTTGCTGGCCTCCCGGATCCTCACCTGATATCTGAAATAGGCATTTCTGAGTGAATGATCAATTTTCTTTATCTGATTAATCCTGTTAATCCCAGAAGTTTCATGATGGGCCAAAAGGTCTTTCTAGCTAGTTACTTCCTGTTTTGGTCTCTGTTGAAGTGGGGCTTTTGTGGGCATCCTGTGTGTGTAGCTTGGTGGCTAATAGGCTAACTTCATGGTTCTGATGACAGACTGAAGTAACTTCTGTTTTGGACTCGGTTGCAGTTCTCTTCCCTATCCGAAGAGATTGTGAGCTCAGGATATTGGTCCACCTGTTGTGCCGTGTAAGCCCTTTCACTACAAATTTAGGAAATACCTCTATGAAATGAAAACATCCACATTATGACGTTTTCTTCCAACTGCCTTTAAAAAAATTTAGCATAATTTATTAATCTTAACAATGTGCATAATACACATTATATATGCATATTTAAAAATACAAAGTATTTTAATTAAAATAATTTCCAGTTATTTTTCTTCTTTCCTTCTCTCTCCTGCTACAGTATCACTGACAGAGCATGGTAACATAGAAGAAAAGCAGAAGCTGGCAGAATGTAAGCTTATTTTTACTTTTTTGGAATTATTATAAAACTGGAACTTTAATAATCCCTGAAGATTAGGTCTTAAAAATATTTTAAGCTTTCTGCACAAATAGGAAATGTTATTCCTTCCAAATTTCTTATAATTATAAATTCCCATTGTTTAGGTCTATAAACATGGGTGAGAATTACATTTGTTAGTCATTTCTAATTTAGACCATTAAAATCTCTATCCAGTTTTGGGACACCTGGGTGGCTTAGAGGTTGAGCGTCTGGCTTTGGCTCAGGGTGTGATCTCGGAGTCCCAGGATCGAGTCCCACATTGGGCTCCTTGCATGGAGCCTGCTTTTCCCTCTGCCTGGGTCTGCCTCTCTGTGTGTCTTTCATTAATAAAATAAATAAAATCTTAAAAGAAATCTCTATCCAGTTTTGATAAGAGAGATACCTGTGTAAACAAACTTTCTTGATGAACCATATTTATGTCACTTAATGTATTTAAAAGAAATGTATCAGACTTAAATTCTGATAACATTTTGTTATATGCCATGCCTAAATTGTTAATGTTTTACCCATTCAAAGAAAATAAAATTTGTTAAAAAAGAAAATTTGTAATGAATAGCATTATTAGCACTTTATTCTTTATAGTCTTTTCTCAGATGTATAAGTGTGTGTATATATATATATATATATATATATAATACAGCTACAATGAAAGGTGGTTTTAATGACTTGAAATTAAATATAATTTAAGTTTTATTTGGAATACAGGTAGAGCTGAAAGTCCTACCTGTTCCCTTGTTTTAAGTGGGTGAGCTCACATTTAATTTTTTTAAATGCTGCATTAGTAACTGCAGTATAAATTTAAAACTTTGCACATATGCTCTACACGTACACTAGGTTTATAGAATGAAATTAATTTGCTGAAATAAGATATATAGTAATTCTATTGTAAAGTTTAAATGTCTGTATATACTGTATATTATATGAGTACATACACAGAACATAAATGCATACATACAGCTCTTATTTAGAAGTATTTTTTAGGAGAATTAAATGAATTCAACTTTCTTGATGAAATAGATATCATTATAATGAATTTAACATTTTGTTCTTTTAATAAAACTATTTTTAGTTTGTCTTAGGCTAACATTGAGATTCTACTGAATAATTTTATCTTTTATTTAAGTGCATTTAAAACAAAAGACAGGCTTATCATTATTGAATCATATACATTTTAAAGAGGATTTATTTATTTATTTATTTATTTATTTATTTATTTATTTATTTATTTATTTATTTTTAAAGATTTTATTTATTTATTCATGAGAGACACACACACACAGAGAGAGAGAGAGAGAGAGAGAGAAAGACAGAGGCACAGGCAGAGGGAGAAGCAGGCTCCATCCAGGGAGCCTGATGTGGAAGTCGATCCCGGGACCCCAGGATCACGCCCTGGGCTGAAGGCAGCACTAAACCACTGAGCCACCCAGGCTGCCCAAGAGGATCATTTTAGATAAAAAAGTTTTAATAGGTGATGCTTACTTTTAAATTTATATTCTATGCATCACATTTTGTGTTTTATTTCTTTCCTCGGTATATCCATTCACTCATAGGAATTTTCAGGTTGGAGAGGGTTACTTATAGAATTTGGAATTTCTTTTGGATTGAACCTTTTAATTATTTGTATGAAAAAGTTACTTCTCTGGTAAAGAGTTTGGTCATTTACAATTAGGTACTAGATTTCCAGGACTAGGAAACTTTCTCAGGAATTCTCTGAGCCATATTGGTTGTCCTCATAAAATTATGATCACCGAGGTTGTTTTGTGGTAAAAATCCTGTTCCTATGACAGAGCCTTTCAAAAGGCTGTTATTTGATGATGGAAATGAAGCCCACTTCCTCTCAATTAAGGAGGTGTTTTATTTTAATCCTCCTAGGCACACTGCTAAGCAGAGTTTCCGTTTTAAATCATGTTTAACTAACTGTAATACATGTTTCATTTGCCAGCACGAGATTATCCGTGGACACTCAAAAATAGACGCCCAGAAAAACTTCGAGACTCACTCAAGGAGTTGGAGGTATCTTTCCAAAAGTTTCAAAAATGGCAACAAACAAATCTGTTTTAAAACATCTTTCAACAGTTTTAATTTTCATAAAGGATCAGCTCTCCTGGTGATGATAGCTTTGCTTTTGTCTAGTGAGGAGTTCCAAAACAGTTGCATCTTTGTGTGGCATGCTGATCTTTTTTTTTTTTTTTTCTTGGTGCTTGCAAATCAGAAGCACTCTAACTGATAACAACAATGTATATAGCCAACTGCACTCTCTCTTTTCTGTTTCTTTCAGGAATTGATGCAAAACAGTCACTGTGTGCTGAGCAAATGGAAGAACAAATATGTCTGTCGGGTAAAATGGTTTGGCATACTTTTGCAGTGTTTAACCAATGGAGCTGAAAACTATGCAGTAATTGGTATTCTTGTGTTATGATAGATAATGGACAAAAACTTTTTAGGAGTGGATATTTCAGAGTTTGAATTCTAGTCATTCTAAAACCAACATTAGACAGATTGACAGAGGCCACCAGGCTGCCTCATTAATCAGTATAGTTGTGCTGACAGTATGAACTAGCATCAGCTAATATGTCAGCTAATAAAAGTCTTTTCAGACGGTATTTTTTGTTCAGATTTGTTTTAATGTTGATTGGATGTTTCCTGGAATAGATTTAATCATATTTTTGAGTGAAGATAAAACCACAGGACAAAAGGTTTTTTGGCATATTACTTTGAGTAAGCATTTGTAAATACCATGCTTATGGAAATCAACAAGCGTACTATAGTTAGACCTAACATAACAAGACATTTGCTCATATTCTTTGAACCCTCTAAGTTATGCTGTTTAATGCCATAGCCACCAGTCACCTGTGGCTATTTAAAAATAAATTTAAACTAATTAAATAAAGTTAAAAATTCAGTTCCTCAGTTGCACTACCTACATTTTAAGTGCTCAGTAGCCACATGTTGTCATGTGGACAATATAAATACAGAACATTTCCATCTTAGAAAATTCTGTTAGACAGCACAGTTAGGACCTAGACAACATGAGCTATGTGTTGAATGGGTCTAGATTTAATAATTAGACATAATATTTAGGGACCATTGATCAGAAAATAATGGACAAATGCCTTAGCTTTGTTTATAAGCTTAAGAAATACTAGTTGCCTTACTTGTTTGTGATTAAAAGAATCACTAGTCATATTCTACTCATACATGTAATTGAAGTTACATTAGGACTACTAATAATTACAACTGTTTTATGAAATTAATATTCCTATATGAATTTAAATTCTTACTTGTTTATAATATGATTTATTTTAGGTCTAACTATTATTGTTTGAAGTTTGGGCCCATGGCTTTAACCATAAATATACATTGAATTTGTAGTTATTATGAACATAATTGAATATTGGAACATAGACTATCCTTTTATTTTTATTTTTTTAGACTGTCATTTTAATGGACTCTAATTTTTCCTCAGTTTTTGTTTAATCTAGCCTGCTTTTACTCATGAAAAGTAACTAACTAGTTACTTACTCAAGTGGCAGAAATTATTTTTTTTCCAGGGACTATCTGCAAGGCTGAATTAATATTTTTAGAACCATAATACTTTCTAAATTTGACTTAGGATTCTATTCAAAAGGATGAGATTATTTAAAAATTCATAATTTATTTTCATTAAAGTTTTAATCAAACATTAAAATTAAATACAAAATATGCTCCAGGAAGTTTTAAACTTAGTACAGCTCAGATTGTACTTCTCAATGCCATTACTCACCTTAAAAGCAGGCTTGAAATTATTTGACTGGAGGGCAAGCCTACTACCCGTAGTAAGAGGTCTGTCTTGTGGCCTCCACCCTTACCATCACACAGGGTAAGTTGGAACATGTCAGGCATCTTAAAATATGCAGTGAAGCATCCCAATAGGCAATCCTTTTTAAATAGACATTATTACCTTTTGATTTTTAAGCAAGTTTGTATGTATCTGTATGTAGGGGGAATAAGGCAAAGGATGTCTTTCACTATTAATTCAATGGAGAAAAGAAATTTTCATGATAGAATATATATAAAACTACTTCTATAATTTATAGCAAACTGACAATAGTGGTTTCTCAGGCTGTTGTACCAGTGTCACTTTTAATATTTCCAATGAAATTTATCTTTCTTTACGGTCTGTCATATTTGTGTGCTTCATTTGTATGATTGATAAATTATTCCTAAAATAGCCCTTTTACTACCAGCATATTCTTGATGTGATTATATATTTTAATAAGATGACTTGCCCTCCACCTGATCATCCTGATTAGTCCCCCACATGTTTTTATTTTTAAAAAATTTAAAATCAATTAACGGGCAACCCTGGTGGCTTAGCGGTTGAACACCGCTTGCAGCCCAGGGTGTGATCCTGGAGACCCGGGATCGAGTTCCACGTCGGGCTCCCTGAATGGAGCCTGCTTCTCCCTCTGCCTGTGTCTCTGCCTCTCTCTCTCTCTCTCTCTGTGTCTCTATGAATAAATAAATAAAATGTTAAAAAAAAATAAAATAAAATCAATTAGCCAACATATAATACATCATTACATATAATACATCATTATATCATTACATTATAGTTTTAAATAATTCATCAGTTGCATATAACACCCAGTGATCATCATATCACAAGCCTTCCTTAATGACCAACACCTAGTTACTCCGTTCCCCCCACCCACCTCCCCTTCAGCAACCCTGTTTGTTTCCCAAAGTTAAAACTCTCTTATGGTTTGTTTCCCACTCAGATTTCTTCTTCTTCTCTCTCTCTCTCTCTTTTTTAATTGAAGTTTGATTTGCCAGCATATAATATAACACTCAGTGTTCATCCAATCAAATGCCCTCCTCAGTGCTAGTACCCACATCTTAAAGGCCTATGAGAGACCTCCTAACATTATTTATCCATTTTCTCAATTTCTAAACGATACAGTGAACTAAGTCTTCTATAAATATGTGTGTAATATGTGTTATCCTAAAAATCTCTAATATTACAGTAAACTAAAAATTCGATGCTCAAGCTAAATTTTTAAAAGGATCTTTAACCTTATTTGTTAGTTGCAAATTAAGTATTCCTCAACTACTCAAGGGCCCTCCTATTGTGCACCATCCAGTGTGGTAACTCCAAACATAACATGGGCTTAAATTTCTATTAGTGGTTTTCCCCATATATTTAGCCCTAAAATGGCAACTACTGACCACAAGATACTCTTAAAAAAGGGAGTGAATTAAATTTCCTCAGTACCTTGGTGCTAACATAACTGAACTTTCACTCTTTGATTGTGGCCACTCCTTAACCAATGTATATCTTTTACCCCACCCTCCAAAATGGCAGATTTAAGACTTACAGACTTTTTCCTAGTTGTCTTCTTTTTAAGGGATCCTCATTTCTTCAAAAGGTCCAGTTTTTTAGGAATTAGCAAGACAATACCAATACTTCAGGAGATACATTTTGAGCTTGGATTTTTCCCTTTGTTGAATAATGAGATTTTTATAAGTTGTCATCATAACCAACACTTAGATCATGTTGTTGATCCAATGAACTATAAATCGTACCATTTAAAAATAATTCCTTCCACTTGCAAATTCAAAAGTTTATAAATGAAAACTTACCTGTGTATATGTTCTGTATGAAAACTGTTTTTTAAAGTTGGCTTTTCAGACTGTGCCTCTTCCTTTTTTTTTTTTTCCCGTAAGATTTTATTTGTTTATTCATGAGAGAGACAGAAAGAGAGGCAGAGACATAGGCAGAAGGAGAAGCAGGATCTCAGGACCTGGGATCACGACCTGAGCCAAAGGCAGATACACAACCACTGAGCCATGCAGGTGCCCTCAGACTGTGCCTATTCCTAATTTGAAATGTATTAAAAGTATGAAATATAATTTAGAGTTTTAGTTAAAGTAGCTATCACATATTTTTTTATTCTCCTAAAATTATTTTAAGAAAGTGTTTAATAATTTCCACTTTGAATTTCTTAAACCTTTTTACAAACTACTCATTTTATAAATATTTTACAAGAGGAATAATAGTTTCAGCATTAGGAGACTATTAAATTGTATACCACTATGGTGGAATTTTTAAATTCCTTAATTTATTGTGCTTTAAGTCACATTCATTTTACAGGTTATTGCATAATTATTTAAAAGCAGTGTTATCGGGGATCCCTGGGTGTCTCAGTGGTTTAGCGCCTGCCTTTGGCCCAGGGCGCAATCCTGGAGTACCGGGATCGAGTCCCGCATCAGGCTCCTGGCATGGAGCCTGCTTCTCCCTCCTCCTGTGTCTCTGCCTCTCTTTCTCTATGTCTATCATAAATAATAAATAAATAAATATTTAAAAAAAATAAAAATAAGAGCAGTGTTATTAAGATAGATGTAACCTCACATATGTTTATTTTATTTTATTTTTTTATTTTTTTTACATATGTTGATTTTAGATTAAATAATCTGAATCGTATATGTACAGTCAACCACAAAAGTATATGATATAGTTAGCTGTACCCCTGTTTCTTTCTATAACAGTTCCACATTTCCAGGTACAATTTTAAAATGCCAGTGGAATGCCTGGGTGGCACAGTTGATTAAGTGGCTGACTGTTGGTTTCTGCTCAGGTTGTGATTTTAGGGTCCTGAGATTAAGCCCTGCATCCGGCTCTGTACTCAGTGAGAAGTCGAAGGATTCTCTCGCTCCGTCTTCCTCTGCCCCTCCCGCTGCTCATGCTTTCTCTTTCTAAAATAAATAAACAAATCTTTTTTTTTTAATGTCAAGAAGAGATAGTTTTCTTTTTTAGTTCTTGTAATGAATTACTTGACATGCTATGTAAAAATAGAAATTTTTTTCTAAGCCTGTTACAGATAAATTGTGAGTTTATGGAACTCAGTTTATCATACTTTCCTCAGTTGTAGAATTGATACATCATTACCTGACCTTTCCTTTCATCAAATTGGAAATCAGTTTGCTTTTCTCATAAAATCATAATTAACAAACCATGACCTTAAGTTACAACTATTAGAAACAGCATATTACTTCTATAAAACTTATCACACTGTATTTATTGAGTGCCACCATTATGGGATGCACTAAGGAAGTGTAAGATGTGGGCTGAGTCCCCAGTATAACCTAGTCAAGGAATATAGATACACAAAATCACTAAGACACTAGTGAGTACTAAGTTGTAGAATACCAAGTAAAAAGATAGTAAAGCTTAGTGAAAAAATAGTAAGAGTTTAAATAGAAGGCATAGAGATTAAGATTAGCCTGGCATAAGATGGAGGATAAAACAGGAAAACTAGAGGCAGTTTGTATAAAGAACAAATGAAATAGGATAATTAT